CGGGGTTAAAATTCTCTTGGTAAAAAAGTGTTGAACGGATTCTATTTTCTTCCGCTCAGTAGCACGCATGAGGCTAAATGAAAACGAACAGTATTCCAGACCAGGTCTAACATACATGTTGAAAAGGCGCATTCTAATGTCCTTAGTTTTAAAATTTCGGAGGATAAACCCGGTCGTTCTACGTGCTTTGGAGACTATCAAGGCACAGTGCTCCGAGAGATTAAGACTCTTGGATTATGATACGCCCAAATCCCTTATAACCCCTGGCACATTTATTGCGTGACCTTCAATACTTAGTTGAGGTTGACGGTCGTCGCCAACCACCATGACTGAGCACTTATGCGAAGAAAGAGAAAGGCGCCATGTGCGGCACCACTGGGCGAAAGCCTGTAGATCGCTCTTTAGGAGGTCAAGCACGATGTCATGATCTGCCGGCCTATATCGATATGCAACTTTAAGATCATCGGCGTACACGAAAAGCTTACCATTCTGAAATAAATCGGGTACATCATTAACGAAAAGGCAAAATAAAAGCGGGCCGAGTACACTACCCTGAATGACTCCACTCCTCACACGTGTGGGGTTGGAGATGGTATTGGAAATCTTAACTCGTTGTGTGCGAGTGCCCAAATAAGAGGATATAAAATTCAAAAGTTTGCCACCTATTCCGAAAGAGGACAATTTCAAGAGGAGAAGAGCATGGTCAACACGGTCAAAAGCCTTAGTGAAATCGAAATATACTGTGTAAAGAGCAAAACCATTGTCCCTAGATTGGAGAACATAGTCAAAGAAAGAGAGTTGACAGGTGTCACAAGATCGAGCTTTGAGGAATCCATGCTGAGCAACACTCAGTAAGTTGTTCGCTGTTAAGTGAACATCATCTTATCTTTGATCAATGTCTCTAAGATTTTCGAAACTGCAGGGAGGGTGTTTATTGGCCGAAAGTCATCAAATGATGTAGATTTGCCGTGCTTAGGAATGGGCAAAATGTGTGATTCCTTCCACAAGGTAGGATAAGTTTCACTTTCAAGAGCAAGATTTAATATCTTGCATAAGAGGGATGGGAAGATAGTGTTTGCATCAGCTTTTAAAATGCTTTCTGGGACACCATCAGGGCCTGGACTATAAGATTGACGAAAACGCCGAATCGCAACAGTCACATCCCACAGAGTGAAAGTTATAGTTTCTAGAACTGCCCCAGTCAATGACTGGATGGTCGGAAGCGGAGTGGTCGAGTCTTCAATACACGTTTTGGACAGGAAATCATTGAAGCTATCCGCGGTTAACTGGGCATCAACTATAGGATTTCCGAGATCGTCTCGAAGGATGGGATACTGCATCTTTCTCTGAGTTCGTATTTTTCTAGAGAAAAGTTTCGAGACACTTAACGAATGGTTTTCGGTAAAATGGACCTCTTCGGCTAGCTGTTTTTCTTCAGACAATCTCTTAGCTCGATCAAAAATACCACAAATCAAGGGCAGAACCGAAACATCGTTCTGCAGATGGAAACGACGATAAAGCCTGCGCAATCTGCGACGAAAGGGTAAAGGTAGGAAAATCTCATCCCCAACATTAATAATTTTCTTACG